TATAGAAATATTTTCTCAATTGTAATTCATTTTGTTACACATAAACTTGAATATATTCAATGCCCTAGCTAAATACTTTTTATTTAGGAGATCTTACATTAGGAGATCAATTTGAATGAGATCAGAGCCATGTCCCATGTGTATCAAGAGTGGGGCTTTAAGAGGGCCAGGGAGATGGCTCAGTAGAATAAGTGCTTGCCTGGCAAGCACAAGGGCTTGAGTTCAATCTCCAGTTCTGCCAAAAAGAAAAAAAAAAAAGAGTGGGGCTTAAGAATTTTCTATAACCATATATTTTATGAAAGAAGTATGGATAGCCCCAAAAAGAAGTGAAAATTTATTTATTTATTTAATGTGTTTAGTACAGGGGATATGGGGCCTACAGGGTCTCACTACATAGATCAGACTCGTAGTGATCCTCCTATTTTCAGTCTCAATCACCATCTCAGCGTGCCCCAAGGGCCAGGGCGGCACGGCATGCCGGGGATTGAACCTAGGCCACTATGCTCTGCCTAAGCAGGTGCTTTAGTCCGCTGAGCTATCTTGCCGGCCCTAAGGGACCCACTTATTTTAGATTAGTCACCAAATTCCACTGATATGCACTATAGCTTTGTACTCTTCACTGCTTTCTTTTTGTAGAATAATGTTACTTTATTTTCTGGTACTGGGAATTGAATTTGAGACCTTGTGCTTGCCAGGCAGGCACTGTGCCACTGAGCTACTTCCCCAGCCTTGCAGAATAATCTTGCCAGTTTAATTTTGAAAACGCACTCTTGTTCCTACTGGTCTGTGTTCGAGTGAACTGTTCATATTCTTCAATTAAAGCAATAAATTGTAACGGAGTCAGTATAGAAACAGATGTGAAGATCTTGCTGTCATGTATCAAGCTAGACATTAAAGAGATGCGCAGGCTGGGTAGGATGGCACACACCTGTAACCCCAGCACTTAGGAGGCTGAGGCAGGAGGATCGTTTTAAATTTGAGTCCAGCCTAGGCTACATGGTGAGTTCAAGACCAGCTTAAACTATATAGTGAGATTTTGTCTTATTTTTTTAAAATTTATTTATTGTGTGTGTGTGTGTGTGTGTGTGTGTGGCCAGCTCAGCCCACCAGGGGGCGAGGCTGGCTGGCATGTGGTGCTGGGGGATTGAACCGCGGTCCCTTAAGCTTGTTCTAAGTAGGTGCTTTAGACCACTGAGCCATCTCACCAGCCCAAGATTTTGTCTTATAAAACCAAAACCAAAGCCAAAACAAAACAAAACAGAACAGAAAAAGAAATTTGCAAAAGTCTTTGCTTTAAAGATAATTTTTAATAAAAGTATGTGAGGTGATACATTTAAAAATATGTAATGTCTTAAAATTTTCTAAATTCTAGTTCCCAAAATACTGTATTTAAACAGTATTTACACTTACTATACTCTTTAATTATGTTTATACAGTATTTAATTTTGCATACTGATAAGTAGTCACTAAGTAAAAGTTCTATGGCGTCTTGACCAGATCATAGCATAAATGTGTCCTAAGATGAAAACGTTTCACAACCACTCATATAGGGCAATTTACTTCAGTTTGACTTCTTTTAAAATTCACTGAAGCCAAACACTATGGAGATATACGTTAACTTGCAGGTTTGTATCCAAATCATCTTTATCCACTAGAAAAAATAACCTATGGTTTTATCATCTTATGGAACATGAACCTGGTTAGTATCCAAAGTAAC